TGATTGAGAACACTAAGGCAAATGCTGGCACTGACATCTGGTGGCAGCACTTGATTAGAAGACGGTCAACCAGGTGGTTCAAAATATGTGTAAATTAATTTTTGACCATCAGAGATCTTTTAAAAAGTTTAAACATCTGTGAAACAAACTTGCAAAGTCCCAGGACTACATCCGCAGGCTCCAGATTGAAAAATATTGCTGGAGAATGTTTGAGTGCCAGAGTCACCCAAGTCCCATGAACAGACATCTTTAGGTTATGCTGCCCCTCTTACTGGGGCTGCTGGCAGTGCTGGTGAACATAATCTGGTGTTTGGGTCCCTGGTATTTTAGTTACCTCTTCAGTGTCAAGCCCCACTGCCTACTTTGTGGTGGTCATTTAAAAAACAAACAAAAAAACCCCTCAAGAGCAAGCAGGAGAGTCAGTAGATGCTCAGTGGACATCTTCAGTCTCCATGACCCCGTGACATCCGCTGATGACTTGACCTAGTTTGTGCCAACTCAGAAGCATAGGCTACCACCCTGAGGCCAGATGCAGCACGAAACCGTTTAGTACTTTGTGGATGCTTAGAAACTTTGAGAAGAGTTATCTAGTACCTTCCTCCAAAGAAGGGTAGAATTCTGTGATGGTAACTTTGCTCAGGAAGCCAGCCTTACTGGCAACAGCGAGGCCTTCTTCCTCTTCTGTCATTTCACCGGCATGATGCCCTCGCTCCCTCTGGGAGTGTGCCCCGTCCCAATTTTTTTTGGTGATATGCTGGAGTAAAGTAAACTTGTGGATGTTTCAAAAGTAAAATTGATATGTAGTGCCTTCCTTATATGGAAAAAGCCATTATCTAAGAAGACGCCTGATTGATTTTGAGCCAAGCAAGCCATTTCGTCATGGGCGGACCTAATTGTGTACTGGTAGGGTTATTTGAAATGGTCACTTTTGGAGCCATTGACACACAAATGAAAAAGACATTTACTGGATGTTTCTAAGACTTGCCTGCCAGTAAAGTTTCACTCCTATAGAGAGTGACATAGGGCAGGGTGGTTTTAGAATTATCGAATCATAGAATGTTAGAACTGAAAGAACCACGGGGATCCTGTAATCTGCAGTTTTATAAATGAAGTAAAGTTAATCTAGTCAATGGTTCCTCATTGGTGATACTTTACAAACTTTTCACCAGTTTGAGGCAAAATAAGAAAAATAAAAGACAGAGTGAGTTCTTCATAAAGTTATGTGTATTCAGAATAGAGACCTCTGTTATCCTGAAGTTATACTTTTGGGGTTAAAATGTCTGATCTTTTATGACGTGATAGTAACAGCAGATAGCTGTTTTTAAAAATATATATTTTATGAACTAAAAATTTAGCAACCTTCTCTCTGTCTCCAGCATTGAAGATGGTGGTGCATTTTACCAGTTCTTGGCATGCACAGATCTAGGAACCAATGACCTGGTATATCTGCCTTATGGCTCGATGCCTCTAGACCAGGTAGACTCCAGAAGGAAGGAAGCTGATCGTTCCCTGCCTGGGCACCTGTCTCATGCAGAAGAGGGATCAGCTGAAATGGCGAAGGTCTAGAACTTTGACTCTTTGTGCAGCTGTCCTTATTGAATTAGCAGACTCACAGCCCCTGTGACTTGAGGGGCACTTCTTGAGAGGCCAGGGTACACAGGGGTGCCAGAGGTGGACCGTTGTTCACAAACAGAGCCTTAAAGCCATGACCCCAAACTTTGCTGTCTGCTAGCACCGCCCGGAGAGCTTTATTAAAACCCTACTGCCAGGTTGCACCCCATGCTAGTTACACCAGAATGCTTGGGAGAGGGAGCCAGACATCAGTTTGTTTGTTTGTTTGTTTGTTTGTTTTGTTTGTTTTAAACCCCAAGTGTACAGCAAGGGAATCTCTGCCTTTGAATTTACTAGGCAGAGGTTCGGAGCATGGAAATCATGAGTCCTGCCTCAGGAACCGTCCTTTCCGAGAGGTAGACCACATGTTGTTAGTCTCCATCTTTTTGGGGGAATGACTGTTGTGTCGCCCTGCTGGTTCTGACAGTTGATCACAAAAGAATTGTGAACTGACACAATTCGCAGGGACACAGGACACAAGAGGCGCTATACCTTGTACAACAAATGATCCAGGTCAACTAGAGCTTCATAAAGATGAAAGTCATCATGAGGCTCTATTATTGCATTTGATCTTTCCTCCTGATTTTCTGCATAGAAATTGAAGTTATGAGATGGTCCTGTAGCCACTTTTGAGTTTACAACTACAGACAGACATTTTCAAATAGCATTATACATACTATTATACTGTGTAATACAAATTCAAGGATCAGCTCATGAAGAAATGGATGCGTAGTTGAGAAGATTTATACCATCAGGCACTTCTGTTCTTATTGTTCACCATCTCTGCATAGTGTGTCCCTACCGTCCTCCTCTTCCCCTCCTCTAATGGGACTCTGCCTCCTCTGAGGTCAGTCTCTTTCCCCTGCATCCCATTCTTCGCTGCCAGCCTTTGGCTTTTGCTCTCTTAGTTACCACCTCTTCTCCCTCCACACTTTGTTCTCTCGCTGCTTTCATGTGCCCACTGGATTCCCTAGCCCTAAACAGCCGTCATTTGACCCCAGTTCCATCCTCACTTGATTCTCTTTCTCTCCTTGAAGACCTGCTGCCTGTGCTTTCTCCTTCCTGCTCTGCCTTCCCCTCTGCTGTCTGGTTTCTTCAGGAAAATGCTCCTTCCGGCCACCGGTGACTCCCTCCTCAGTGGTCTGACCATCCCTTCGTTCCCGAGGTTCTTCCCTCTCCTCGTTGCTATGGTGACACAGCTGTCCACTTCTACTTTAGTCTGTTTTTCTTCGGTCTCACTGGTTTCTGTTTTCCCTCCTACTCTTGTTCGTGGGCTGCGTGCAGTTTGGTCCTTCCCTCTTTTCACTTTGTCTTATCTACTCGCAGATCTCCATCTCCAGTTCTGACCTTTCTCCTGACCTTTATTCTTCAGTTTGGCCTTTTTGATGGACTCTTCAATAGGCCTTGTTCTTAAAGGAAATTTGTCCTCTCCTCTTGGCCCCACCAGTGATCAACCCACCTTTTCCATCTCTGCTCGAGGGGTCCTCATTTTTCAGGTCACTCAGAGCAAACTTCCATCGTGGTTACTGACTCCCGCTCTCTCCCTTGCGCATCTTTCTCCCTGATGGTTTCACCAAACTTTGTTGATTCCTTATCCGCCGCGATCTTTTTCCAATCCTGTGGTTACCACTCTAGTGTAAGTGTAGGCTTTATCTTCCTGAAGCCATATTCCTGAGCTCAAGAACCTGACCTCATTAGCCTTCATTTAAGGAGCTCCATAGTCTAATCTCAGCAAACCGCTGTCCAAACCCATCTTGCCCATCTTCCCTGTGCAGACCTGTACCTCAGGCCTTTCTTCACCGTGTTCTCTTCTCTTGGCTCAGTCAAATCCTACTCCTCCTTAGAGGTTTCCTTCCTGTATAAAATTGTCTTTATATAAGAATGGGAAGTAATTTTTTTCCTCCGAATTCCTTATATTCTTATTGTCTGTTCCCTCACGTAGAACTTTACTGCTTTGTATCGTTGATTTTCATGTGTTTCCCCTAACCTGCTGGACCATGAGCTTTTGGAGGGCAAGGACTGTCTCCTCACAGCATCTGCTTTAGGACTCTGCGTGGTCAGGTTTTCAGCATCTATTTGCAGGTAGATTTTATATTACGGGTGAAGTTTTCAGTTTCTTTCTTACAGCAAGAGAATTGGTTGGGGACTGGTAAAACTAATAGATCCACTGAGTGAAGGAAAACCTTAAAGAGAGACAACAGGTAATTTTCTGAAGAAGTGATTTGAGAAAGGTCTTCCGTAATTGGGAATTTAGTATAGAATAATAGCGAGTGATCAAAATAATAGAGTTTGCTTTAGTGGGTAGCCTAGTGTAGCATTTCGGTTAAGAGCTTGTTCTTCAGTTTGATAATCTTTCTGAGCCCCATCCCCAATCCTGATTTAGAAGAGGGGGATAATTGTGTCTGCTTCATAGAATTGTGAGCATTAAACGAATTAATAAAAGCACTGTGAATTGTTAGCACAGTCCCTCTTTAGTAAATGGTAGCTTATTTTTTTTTGTTTGCCTGTTATAAAGGATGCATAAAGGTTTCTTTGACTGAAGAGGCAATTAGCAGTAATATGAACAAGAGTCCTTCTGACCCTTGGCTCAGAAATCTAGACATGCAGCTCACTTATTAGGGTATTTTAATAGCCCAGAAAATGCATATTGAGCATCTCCCACAAAGGGATTATGGTGGACTCTAAGGCTAGAGGGGTGAGTAAGGCATGGTCAGTCTGTCCCAGAGGAACTGATAAGAGTGAAGAAGTTGTAGACAAGTTAGAGAAAAGGAAGGAAAGGGAAAACTAGGAGAGGTTTTGTCCTGATGGAAGGAGACTTTCTTAAGGTGAAAGTACCAGGGTGTTGCAGTGACTTGGGAGTCTGGATGACAGGGGATTGGTCTGCGAGATGTCTGCTCAGTTGGTTAAGGGACCGTGTTTGTGAGACAAGAGTTCCACCCCTGGGGGCCAGTTTAATTTTCTCTGTTCCATGGCCACAAACCGTGTTGACCCTTGAACCTGACTCTGCTCCAACTTGGGCTCCTGCAAGACAGCGTGGGTAACCGTCCCAATGTTGTCCCACTCATGGAACCGGGGCATCACCTTTTTATTCCTGGGAGGGCTCCTGAAGAATCCATGAACTAAGGATGCTGCGAAAACATTAAGTGGATTCACAGAAATTAAACGTCACACTTTTATTGTCATCTCTGCATCTCCAGCCAAATCCGGTTTCCATATTTAAGATGAATTAACCCTCCCGTCTAACTGGGAAAGGTTATCTGAGGCTTTACTTCCTTGGGATTGTTGGGAAAAGAATTTAGACAAAATCTGAAGAAGGACCAGTTCTTGCCTGGGGTTTGCATGTAGAATCACGTACTTGGACTGAAAATGCTCCACTTGTCTTTTCACAGGGGAAAGTGGAAGTAGAAGCTGGGAAAGAAGGTATGAAGTTTGAAGCCAGTGCTTTTTCTTACTATGGTGTAATGGCCCTGACAGCCTCTCCAGGTGAGTTCCCTTCGCCTCCCAGGGCAGAGCTGTGCTTTCGGAAGCAGTGCCCTTCCACTGTCGTCTTTCTCTCGGTCCCTGCCAGGGTTCTCTTTATTTACTTCTTGAACTTTTTATTGAAGTATATCATATATACAAAAAAAAAAAAAAAAAAAAAACCCCGAGAGAGAAAAAAAAAAAACCCTGCAGAAAGCATAAGTATTTTACCTCCGTGAATTTTCACAAACTGAACACGCCCGTGCTAACCAGCACCCAGATCAGAGACAGACGCCTGCAGCCCCTGGGAACCCGCACCCGCGGGCTCTCTCAGACGTTATCTCCCAGAAGCCACCACTGTCTTGACTTCTGAGCATAGACAGGTTTTGCCCGTTTTCGAATTTTATGTAAATGGAATTACACACGATGTATTATGTTGCGTCTGGCTTCTTTCACCCAGTGTCGTCCTTGTCGCATTCATCTACATGGTCTCGTGTGCTTGTGCTTTATTTCTTTCGCTGCGTAGAGCTCCGTCATGTGCAGGTGCAGCGATGCATTCTTTTCGCTGCTGTTGGACACTGGGGTAGTTTCCCGTATGGGGCCATGGCGGACCGTCTGGCTGCGTACACTCTTGTACCTGTCTCCTGGTGAACATGTGTGCGTTTCTGTTGGGCCTGTACGTATGGGTGGAACTGCAGGGTCACCAGGTACGATGGTATTTCAGCTCTAGTAGCTACTGCCCAGCGGTTTTCCACAGTGGCTGTAGCGGTTCCACTCGTGCCTGTCCTGATGAGGGTTCCAGTTGCTCTGTATCCACCACTTGATATTGTTCAGTTTTTTCAACGTTAACTATTCCGGAGGTTTTTAAGTTTGCATTTTCCTGATGATGAATGGGATTGTTAATATCTAGTGATTACCTCTAGTCAGCTCTTCTTATCTAGAGAGCTGCCCAGTAGAGTCAGCCAGCTAGGGGTGGGTGTGCCATGGGCTGTCGACTAAGTACTCTGAGCACAAGATGCTAGCAGGCAGTGTCCTAGTAGGAACATGGGCACAGACACCTGGCTTGCCTCTGGGATAGGACTCGAATGGCCACTCTTGGCATTGCTTGCTTGGTGGTGTGTGTGCCCTTGCTACCTCACCCAGGCTGGAACAGGGGCATCCTGGTGAAGAGGTGCTGGAGTGCCACCTTGTGGCCAAAATACCAAATGACATGCCGTCCTAGGAAATAACTTTTACAAACACTAAAATTTAAAAATAACCTGTCCTAAAAAAACATTGTCTCTTCTGAAAACCAGTCTAAAAAGGGGAGTGGACATCTCCAGACAAGTCTGTTTCTGTGACGTCGGTCCACATTTACTGTACTACACAATGTCTACAGTTAGAAAGCCAGGGAAACGTCGAGAATTCACTCACATTTCCAAACACCCCCTGCCCCAGGGGTATCTTCTCACTATCCTAGGGCAGGTTTTTGAGTAAAAGGGGCCAGTGTCCCCATTCTCAACTGCTGACTAACACCCAGTTTGAACACAGGCCTGTCTAACCCCCCTTAATTATTCGGTGTCTGCTGTAAACTTGAAGGTGACCTTCTGTTTTTACTGCTTGTGAGAAGACAGAGATTCTTAACCAGACCAAGAAGACCCAGGTTACAGCCTCACTTCCATCATATATGGGTTGCCTGACTTTGAGAAAGGCCTTTGGCTTCCTCATTATTAAAAGGATATAACAAGATTGCCTCATGTGATTGTAGGAATAGAATGTGATGACACTTCCCCGGTGCCTTGTAATCTCTAAAGCACAAGAGGAAATAAATGTTGGTGTGACAGTTCGGTGTTGGGGTTGTTTGCCACCAATCTCAAATGACCCCAGGTCAGCAGAATCAGATTTATAAGGTGGCTTTGAAAAGAAAGCTGGAAGAGTGAGTTGTACATTTTTATTGATTACTGGTTCTTGAAGCCCAAGTATTAGCTTGGTTTATACTGAGCTGTGGATTCATATAAGGTTAAGTCTCATTCAGAAAGTTGTTGAAGAGCAGGCCTTTAACATAGAAAGCTTGTGGAGCTGCTTTTCCTAGCTTGGAAATGCCAGGAGGAAGGGGATTTCATTAATAGCATCGTATTACAAAGTCCAGTATTTTACTTGACTTTACATTTAGGATTTGCGATTCTGTATATTCATTGAGAGATGCAATTAGGACAGTGATTTCAAGGTAATATTTCTATTTATTAATGTTGATTGCCTAGAAGAAATCCTACAGTAATCCATTATCAAGACCTACCCAGTTATATGTCAATTATACCTCAATTAAAAAAAAAATTGCCCAGAAAATATGACTCCTACCAGGTCAGGGCAGTGTTGACTGGACTTTTCAATCAGACGGAGCTACGGAGCTAGGCTCCCCGTCTGAGTGAGCAGCAAAGAAGATGACTTTGGTCTGCCATTCCCAGGAAATCTGTGTATGACTGTCATTATTTTCTTTCCTCTGATACTTTGAAATTCCGTAGTATTCCAAAGCAATTCAAAGCATTCGGTCAGAATGACAATCAGACTCATTAAGAATGTAAATGAATTGAATGACTAATTTCTTGCCACAGATGGGGATGCTGTGGGCTGTGCGATGAATGAGTAGAAGGGTGCTGGCGGGTGCTGGCACAGGCGCCTTGGGCCGTGCTCCTGGGCCCCTTCTTAATCGAGCTCCCCTTTTGTGCAGCTATTTGTGATTTAAGTCCTTAAGAAGAGCACGTTTTGAGCTATAACCCAATTGGGTATTAATGGCTTAAGAGATTTCTGAGATCGTAAAAAAGCATGTGAATAGGATTTCTCCTGACTTCAGCCTCCCTGTATTTCTCTTCCTGGAAAGCAGTGTGTGTTCTTTTTTGTTTATATAACATCATGCAGGCTTTTGCATTTCTGGAATTAAGGGCTCATGTTAGTAGTTCAGTTGGTAGAGCAGGTATCCAGTCCTATCCCCTGATTACAGAGATCTCCTTTCTTGCCTTTTCATTTGGTCTCACCCTATTTTTCTCCATTTTTCAGTTCCTTTGTCCCTGTCTCGTACCTTTGTTGTCAGCAGAACAGAGTTGTTAGCAGCAGGTTCTCCAGGTAATTCTGCATGTTTCCTTTTCATAATTCTTCTGATTGCCTCCCTTGACCCCACAAAAGCCTGGCTGGCCAGGTCTGCTCCCTTTATTTGGTCAAGGTCATTTTCAAAATTTTTTTTTTTAACTCTGAAACTCCACATTTCTATGACCTAATAGTGAGCTATCCAGGAAAGTATACGCCCACAACAGACGCAGAGAGTTTAGGAGGCTGGAAGGGAGTCTTGGAGCATGAACAGTGATGAAACATGGAAAGGGAGAATGATTCTGACCTGGACCATCAGTGCTCCCTGCCTGTCCCACCTACACTGCTGACCTTGGATTTTCAGGGGAGCAGAAGGGAGCTGCTTTTGCTTCTTTCTCTGACCTCAGCAAAGTCATGGTGTGTGGAGCTTGCAGAGGTCCCAACGGCCTCAAAACCTGAGGATGCTTCTACAGAAGACATGCAGCTAAAAGCCTGAAGGACTGTGGACTTTTCTTGGTAAACCAGGAAAGTACCCCACCTGCAGAGGCCCAAGGCATTCCCGTGTCCTCCTTCCAGCACCATGTGAATGGGCCACCCTCTGGGGGCCAGGTGGCCCCGCTCCTCCTGTCTCCCTGTCTTTGCTTTGAAATTAGTGCTGTGCACATCCCTAATGAGCTGCCAGTTATGGCCCCGCAGGAGAGCTTGGTTGTGCCTGGCTAACGCGTCCAGCTGCTAAAAACAAAGGCAATAGTTTAATCTTTCTTTAATTAAAACTGCTGGGTTTTCCTATTTAGTGGTACAACTTTTCTATATTTATTTTCTTCCATACAGCTTATACTTTTTAAGCTGACCAATGAAATTTACATTTCATAATCCAGTTTCAGCAAAACTCTAAAATGCTGATATTTGGTAAAGGAAGCAATACTTGTCTTAGAAATTAATGTTCCCTCAAATCTTTGCTTTTAAAAAGTTTGGGGTGTTTGGGGTAAGATATTACTCATAAAGCTGTTAGAATCAAACCAGCTGGCAGACTCTACATATATACACACATGTATGCGCACACATACATATGTATGCACATAAATATATATTTATGCATATGTATATATGTTTGTGTTTTTTCTCCTCACGTTATTTGCTGGCATGTGCCATCTATTTAAAATGTCACAGAGGCTGAAGTAGAGTGACTTTTGGATGAAACTCATGGAAATGTTGTTTGTATTTTACATTTCCTGTAAAATGTAAAGATTTCTTAGCTTTGCCCGCCCCATCTGATCCCGTAATAGAAAAATCCATTTTGCGGGTCCAGACCTCCCGGGATGCTGGCATTACGATAATAGATGGGGGTTGAGCTAAGCCAGTGATTTCCAGTGTATTCCACAAGGTGCCTTGTGGTTAGGAAGAAGGCTAGGAATTTTTTTTATTGTATCTTTCTAGTTTACTAGCAAAAAGAAAGGGTTCTTAGTAAGATGAATTAAATAAGCCAAGACAAAAAGCAGAAAGAAAACAGTTCTGCAAGAGCATGGAGGAATTAAAATGGAAAGTTGTTTTCATAATTATTGTCTAAAATTTTGGCACATAAATTTGGCAACAAAACATGACCTGAACCGTAGAGCGGCAACTTAAATAAAGTCTTTATTCTTCTTGAGTGAATATTCATACATCTCATTGTATGGTCATGAAAGGCTAATTATGCTGAGTGCCTGTCAAGCTGCAGAAGGAGTCCTAGAAAACAGCGGCTGCATCTGCAGGCTGTGGCTGTGACGCCCAGTGGTGGGTTCCTGGCATAGGAGAGGGCCCATCTCACAAACAGGCAGTGGGTTGAAAGGCAGCTGACTGTAGTCGAGGTACTAGGTTGGAAGCAGAGAAATTACCCTGTACTTCTCTTCAAAGGAAACTAACAGGAGACTCAGAAGTACTGCGTCAGGCCTCAGATATCTCTCTGCCAATGCATAGGGTCTGATCAATAAGCAAAGTGCCCTTTAAATGTTTCATTTTTATAACACCATTTTGAAGGTATCTATAGAAATGACGATGTGATTTCAGGCTGAATTAGCCCAGGGATATAATGGGACCCTTTGTTTAAAGAACTGTTGGGTCTGTCAGTCTGGGTGAAGTAATCACAAGCATGGAAAGGCTTGATCATGAGGGTGGGCGCATGGTGGGGAGGTCTGGGAGGGAACTAACAGGAAATAACATAATAGTGTTAACCAGGCTCATTTATTGGAGATTTGTTGGGTTTAGACGCTCACTAAGCACTATATACCTCATTTTGATCCTCATCAGACCTCATGAGGTGGGTACTATTATCTGCCTTTTACAGGTAAGGAATCCGAAGCTTAGCAAAGTTGGAATATCTGATCAAAGTTCCATTCTGCTAAACAGAGAAACGTCTGTTAAATTATTAATTTGCCTTGTTCTCTTCGAAGCTAAGTGGAAGCAACTAGAGTAACTGCTACTCTGAGTTTAATTTTGACCTAACAGTGGAAAATTGGTTTCATGACATGAAAATCGTGGGGAAAGTTATGACATGAAAATGTTAGCAGAATGCGAACTCGTCACTTGATGTTCCTTGGTACTTCTTATGTTCTGGGTATCAGTCTCAGACGGTGGTCAGGATGGGGTGAGGGGCAGTAAAACATACTGGGTGAAGGATGGTCGAAGTGTTCAGCTTGGAGAATAGACTCAAGGAG